GCCCCTCCTGGGGACAGCCTTGCTCACTGGCTCTGGCCAGGCTCACACTGAGTCTCTGGGAGATGGAGAGAAGGCAGAAGGACAGCTGCGAGCTCTGAGCCTGGGTTCCATGGGCCTTGTGGGTCAGCAGTCAGAGGCCCCCTGCGTCGAGCAACATAGCGGTCCCAGAGAGAGTCCAGGCCCTAGGCTGCCCTGGGCTTGAATAGAAAACCAAGGATGGCCTTGGGTATTAACCTCCCTGAGCTCAGCTGGCACATGTGTAAAACGGGAGTCATCATACTTTCTTCATAGGCTGGCCTGAAATACGCATTTCACCCAGCATGTCACACAGCCCCTGGCATGCCACCTATCTCCTGTAGTTCCCTCTTTAGCAATCGGGGAGAGATGGCCAGGCAGAGGTGGGTGACAGGGAGAGAGGAGAGAAGCCCCAAGCTTAGAGGAAGGTGAGGAGTCCTGGTCTCCCTACTGCTGACCTCTATGTCCCACTGGTTACTTACCTGATAGTCTTTAAACCTTCAAAAGTTTCCCATCAGCAAAGGGGGAGGTGGTGTGAGGGCCTATGCCTCACAGGTTAAGAAAGGACTCCACTAATTAAGTCTCACCTGATATTTACAGTCAGAAACCTAAAGACTTTCTGAACATCCCCTTCCTCAAAAGGTCTGGCTGCAAAAGAGACCAAGGGACAAATGCTTGTTCGCTGTCCTCCAAGAGCTGGTAAAAACACTGAGCCCCACCCCACCAGGTACTCACACTCCTTTTGCCCAGTTCATCATCACCATTTCCCATACAAAGCTCTAATTAAGCCAAATGTCCCTAAATTTTTTTTAAATGTCCATTAGAGTTGTTCCCTAAACTGAGATCTAGCCTGGGCTAGCCACTGTATGACTTTAGGCAAGTTCCTTCCTGCCTCTGTGCCTTGGGGCCCTCCTCTTTACTAGGTAGATGAACTAGACCTAGGTTGTAACCTCAAGTTCCTTGGATGGACTTTAGGTGTGCATGAACCCCTTTAAAAATGAGATAACTAACGGCTGCATCCCAGAGGGGAACTAGGTGGCTGAGGGGCCACTTGGAGAAAGGAGACCTTTGTATCTTTTCAATTTTGGGCCACAGGAATACATTGTCTACTCAAAAATAAATAGAATAAAATATATATTAAATAGGAAAGAAAATACATGTAAATCCATGTGTGTGGGGGCACCTGCACCTTCTGGGGAAGGATCCATAATTTTCATCAAATTTTTCTAAGGTATCTCTGACCCCAGAAAGGTTTAAAAAGCATTTCGCTAGATGCCCTTAAGGGTCATTCCCTGTTCCAATTTCCTTGATTTGACAAAGATAAGAGAAAACAAAAGTGAATGTCAGGACTCATTACATTAACAGCCTGGGTTGGATGCATGGGAAAATTCACCCTCAAATCTCACATTTAACAGCATAAGCATGCACGCCCACGTGAGCTGAGCAGGTTCAGATGTAAATGCTGGACTTGATGTGGTGAGCTGTCCTCACCAGTGGACCTTCCATTGAGCAGCCTTCAGCAATCAAAGTCAAAAAATGACCTCCATCAGCCTATTCTCTCAAAGCTGTTGAATTAAGTCCTCCTTGCCCCACCCCGGTGCCCACTCAAAGAAACATTCAGCTTACATTAGCTGCGCAAACAATGCATATAAATAAAGACAATATGGATTTTTAAATGTTGGCTCATTTGGCTCTGAGTGGGCAGGGAATGAGAAGGATGGGAAATGGAGGAGGTGGGGAGATCCAGGGTGAACTGGAGGTGGAGGAAGCCTAGAGACCTCCGTCTGTGTCTCTGAAACCCACAAAAATTCTCCTGTGCCGGAGAGGAAAATGCTTCCTGGGTGTGAAATGTGGAAAGCTTCAGGGAAGGGGGAATCTAGCTGAGGGATCAAAGCAAGAGCCGTTAAGGCAACAAGACTAGCAGCTGAATGGGTCAGAGCAAAGAGAAAGGTCACACGGTTCCAAAAAAAAGGAAGGGGGAGACGCCATTTAACAAATGGCCCCCGGCGATGGTAAACTTTAATTAAGTGCACCATTATAATTCACTTCCACCCCAACCCAGTCTCTCTATCCCCACACCCTCCCTCTCTCCCCCAGGTCTCATCAAGGCGGGCTTCCTTGGTGAAACCCTACTGGCCGCCTGTACTGGATGCTTCATTATTATAGCTATTGCCTCTCCTGCTAATAATGCACCCAGCAACAAGAAGGGGGAGCAAACTACAGTTCTCAGCTCTTAATGACAGGTCCCTTTCCTACCTACGTGCACTAAATCAACGGTCTCATAATCCTAAAAGTTCCTAAAAGTAATAACATAGCAATGAAGAGACAGCGGCAGGCCAGCAGAAGCGGATGTGCACGCAGAGGTGGGTAACAGGGCCAATTCTCACTCAGAGCCACCGGACTCACAGGGTTCATATCCGATCGTTCACCCACACATCCAAGTTGACAATCACAGCTCAATGCTGTGGCTGCACCCACCGCGCCCTCATTCAATACTGGTTAAATTACGCCAGTGACACTCTATCTCCTGTAATCTCAGGCTGCTGAGCTTTACCCATTTTAAGAGTGTGTGCATTGGGAGTGGGGGTTGGGAGCACCTCAGAGGATCTTCCAGGCGAAACATGCTTGGTTTTCATTAATGAGCTTATGAGAAAAGCCAACCCAGACCTTTAAGTGAAATGTGTGATTGGTAGCCAGGCGAGGATAGGTTTTAGAATTAACTCTTCCTACAGTCTGCTATGCATTATCACCCCCAAGTTAATTACCCCTGAGGATGAAAATAGGTTTCATGACTCACAAGCACCAATACAACACTTGGCAGCAGATGAAAATGCAAGGACACATTTGCAGGAAGCTGACACGCACATCTATTTATATGTGGGGAGATTCTTAAAGAGGTGAGACAGGCACCTCCCAGGCACCAGGATTAAGAGGCTGCAGCAGATCCATCAATTGCCATTTACCCACACCCCTAAGCACACACACACACACACACACACACAGAGTCATGATTTCCACTACTTCAACGATGGTGGTGGCAAAGCAGGAACAGAAACTAAAAGGGTATTATTAACAGCAAGTCCGAACACCAACCCAACCTCCATACCAGTGTTTTGGGCTAACCGGTGATTTGTTTTTCCCCTAATGCGAGTGAGCCCGCACCCATACGCACCTCCCTACCCTCCCGCTCCCTCTTTGATGGGAATGTGGTGGATGGTGGGGGTCGCTAAGTCTCTTCCCATATGCGCTATTCCTCTGACCTGGTGGGGACCATTCTGGCCCAGCTTGCCCCAAAGGACCAGGAATGGGGCGTGGCCAGGAATGGATTTAGGATCTGGGGTTGTTTTGGTCCCTTCACCCCCTCCACACACATTTTTCTACTCCCCTTCCATTTGCCTCTAAGGAAAGTAAAAAGTTCTAATCAGGTTTATTTGCCTTCCCTTAGCTCTGAGAGGGCTCCAGTCTATTCTCAACCAAGGAGGTTCAGAGCCCTACAGGACATTCCAGTCCCATCCCCATCCCTCTGTACCTCACAAATGCTGCTAAAAAGATGAATAATTGCATTTCTTCACCGTTGGGAATGGGTTCCATTTGGTGTCATAAGCGATCTTTGCCCCAGGAACTGGGATTGTTTTTTTTTTTCTCTGTTTCCCACTGTCTGCAACCAGCTAAGTGTCCTGCCTTTAGAAATTACCAAAAAGAGGGGAAAGAAAAAAATGTGTAATGAATGAAGTGAAATTGTTCTTCCAATGCATCTGCTGGAAGCTGCTGCGAACTCTCCAGGGCTGAGTACATGACTTGTTTCCCACTTCCCACGCCTCTCCTGTCGGCTCCCAGCTGTGGTATTTTTGCTTTAAATGTGCAGTAACAGTGATACCTGCCACATCTAGAAGGCAAAACACCCTAGTTTTTTCGTTTTCCCGGCCTCACTTGCACAAGTCACAACTGCACTGGTATCAGCATGTACTCATGGCCACAGGGCGAGGCACCAAAAAGCATTCCTGATAATGCCATTTGCAGCTAGGGCACGCATCTGGGGGGAAAACAGAGAGGCTGAAGAGTAAACAGAAATTGCTTAGTCAGCAACTGTCCCCGCCCCAAGAGGTGAATGTAAATAGCCTGGTACTGGGGGGGAGGGGCAGTCAGCCAGCACCAGGCCTTCTACAGATGCCATCTATGAGGGATTCCTAAGGCACCAGCGTTTGTGTTAACTGTTGGAAGCAGGGAGGGTGCCTCCCATGGTGGAGTTGTGTGGTCTTAGCCCTAGAAAAACACACTTGCTGACTCCAGGCAGAATTAATATCAATTGAATTTATTACAACTTACTAAGCTCCAAGGCACATTACAGTGTTCTGTTAACTACAGAAATGTATAAAGGACAAACAGAGCAGATTCTCCATGTCTAGCATTTCGCTCTACTGTTCAAAAGCATCCGTGCATCAATAAAGCAAAAACAAAACAACACGTGAAGATCCAACACATCCAGGTCAGTAGAAACAAACCAAAACATTTTCCCTCACAAAACTTGCAACAAAAAAACACCCGCCCCCCCATACCCCCCCTTACCATTTTGCAAACGAAACAGAAAACAGAACAGAACAGAACAGAACAAAATAAAGTGAAGACTTCAACACTTGGGGCTGTTTAGAAAGAAGCTCTCACCACTTTATAGCATCAATTTTTTTAGGCAGCAACACTGGCCTTGGCAAAACAAAACAAAACAAAAAGTCATTTTCTTTTGTGTTTTTCCTTTCAGTGAGTGCATAACATTTACAAAAATACACACCAGCAGCAGTCGTTGCTAAGGGCTATTAATTCTGTACCTAGGCAAACACTCTGCCACCAATAAATGCTAACGAATATGATGCAAATGACCCAACCAATATTATACTGCTTAACACAAACCAGTTTATCCTTCAAATGAAGAAGTTACATACCTTTGTTTCAAAATATAGAAACATACGACGAAAATAATGTCTATACATAAGACTAACTTTTTGCAGTTTGTTATATTCACAATTCTACATCTTGGGGGTGAGGGATAAGAGGGTCGATGTGGGTGGGGGAGGGGCCCTCTGGACGGGAGAGGAGCTGGTGGGGCAAAGGAGGTGGCTGTCTTCTGGTTCAAGGGTCTCTCTCCTTTTTCACTTTAACATCCCCAGCTAAGATCGTTGCGATTTCGCCCTGCATGAAGGCCCAAGGTACATTCGATCCAACTAGGGGACATTTCTCTCCGCTGGGGCAGTACACCTCGCCAGTGGCCCCCTGGGCCTTGATACTCTCTCTAGAGCAAGGGAAGCAGAATTTGTGGCTGGGGACGGATGGGCACTGAACGAAATGTGTGTCCTCCAAACGTTCGTGGCAAATGGTACAGCAGAGGGGCCCGCTGTTGGCCATAGGGGAATCCGGAATGTTTTGGGGGTGCACTTGGTCCATGCCTGGGTGGGTGCTAGGCGGTGGGGGCGCCACCTGTAAATTCAGGTCCCCATTCCGTGATGCCAACCGGCGCTGCCCGGGTACGGAGGCCGGCGACACTGGGCTGCTGCTGTTGCGCCGTGCGGACGCAGTGGTGGAGTGCACGGAACTGCCGTCCTTGGGCGAGTGCGCCGTGCCCCAGAGTGTCTGCCACCGACATGAGTGCGGCCA